GGTTGTTTTGACCCAGCGGTTGGGTTAAATGTTTAACCCAACCTTCTAGGTAGTAACCCAACCGCTGGGTCAAAACAACCCAATTGCTGGGTTTGTCCCTATTTTACCCAGCACTGGGTTGTATTTAACCCAGCATTTTTTAGAGTGTATTTTGTACTATAAATCTAATTACAAGTAGTTAATTTCTGGAATCCGATTAAAAAATACAGATTACACGCAATCAGTTACTGGATATAAAGATCAAGAAATGACAAAACCAAATCAAAATTGTAGTCATACATATAGTAGAATGTTTAATTTTGAACCATTTTCACAGCAAACATAAGGCGACATAAAAGTACAGCTAATGTCGAAATGTTTTCAGAGATGACTGGCACTTATCGTTTACAAAAGCTGGTCGTTCAACAAGATGGAAGGGGTTAAGACATTCAAAAACATCCAAGAAAGCATTCCAGGCTTTGACAGCTGTGAGTTAAGCTCTGACAACCCCCTCTATTTGTCTATAAAAGTTACATTCGATTTGGGCGCATACACACAGAGAAGCACAGAGATGCTTGGAAATCGACATGCACCAGTAATCGAATCCTGAGCAGACACACCCGTCTAATAAAGGCAGGTCACAACATGACATTCTCCAGGGTCAGCAAGCAGGGAACAGCCTATTTAAAAAAGCGATAACAGCAAAGAGGCCACAGCACACGATGGTACATCCTGCTACCAAACAGCGACGTTTCTCTGTGCGTAGAGCCATCTGTTGGTGGATTTCGAAATGCTTTTTTAAAATGGTGCCTTTGAGGACGAAAGCAAGAGCAGCTGGCCTTCTCAGTTCTCACCTGCCAACGTTTCCGCTTTGTTGCTGATCTGAGACCAGTTTCGAGTCATCTGATGTGTGTATTAATATATAATTTGGGAATATGAAAAATGGTCCAAGGTCAGCAACAAAAATATTCAAGTTCGTCTGCTCACTGTACAGGCGCTTCAATCGCTGTCGTCCTGGAGGCAGAGAGTTGTTTGGTTATTTTATGAATCAGTCAGGGAACAATGATGTGTTTTGTTTGTTTGCTCACCTCTCTGGATTGACGGGCTTCTGTTGCTGTTCTTGATGCTGCTGCTCTTTCTGTTCCTGCTCCATTCTACAAAGAGCATAGCATTCTGGGTAAATAGGGAGTTGCTGGTCTCCTCTTCCAGTTTGTGAAAGCATTATCTAATAGGTGTCAAATAAGCCAGTTTTGAGGAGTTTGGGGATTACCTCTCTTTTCTAGCATTCATTCTTTCCTCTTCAAATCTGCAAAACAAGACAAATTGAACTCAGAAATTGGTATCAGATTTTAGTTTTGGTTAGCAAAGGGTAAAATACGTCTGTATGTTTGAAATCTTCTTACTGTAAGACACACTCTGGGATCTGGATATGATCCATAGGAACAATCTTTTCCAGCTCTTCCAGACTGTGCACATAACGGATCTTATTCATGAACTTCACACTGTAGAGCAAAAAATATCATTTATGAGCATGTCTGAACCCTGCATAATGAACTTTGAATAATTATCCATGCACTTTTAATTAATTATGAGAATTTATTTCTATATAGTACAATATTTAGTATTTTTTTTTTTATATATTAAGAAAAAAATGTAAAAATAAAGTTGCAATATATTCATAAGATTAATTCACCAATATTTTAGCTTTTTAATAAGTACATGATTTTATTTAATCAACTTCGAATCTCATTTCCGTTCTGTTGTTGAATAATATGTTTACCTGATGAAGGGTTTGGAAATTGCAATGACTGT